GGGGGCGGGAGGGGGGGAGAGGAGGAGGAGGTGGGGGAGGAGGTGTGGACCGCGCCGCGGACAAGTGCCGCAGTGACGTGGGTGGCTGGTGATATAGCGCGGCGCGCTGGCGCGGGCCTCCAATCCCCAGACCCCGGGCAGCCCATTTGAATAATCAGCTCACACCTAGGTGAGAGGAAGCGGCCGATGGCGCCCCGCACCTGCCGCTCCGCGCCCGCCCCGCTCGCGCCTCTCCCGGCACTCCCCCGGCTGAGACAGGCCAGCAGGCGTGCGGGCGCCCTGGTGGAACCTCTTTCTTTGGGTCCGCGGGGAGTCTTCCGTGGACCTAGAGACCTGGGGCCTGGCCACCCCCCGAGCCGCTCCAGACTCCTGTCCCCGCCCCACCCCATCGCACCGAGCACCGGGTGCATCTATCCGAAGGCGCGTCCGGCCTCCCTGCCCAGCAGAGCCGGATTTACTTATCCCGGGTTACTTCGCTCCTGGCGCACATTCCCAGTCAAAATAACAAGCAGGTGACAGCCAATTTGCAAAGCGCTGTCGTATTTAGAAAAACTGTGTACACACCTTTAACTCGCCCGCTGCAGCTCCGGAGGCCCCTCCCTGTTACAGTTAAGTCTCGGAGCGGCCTCCGGCGGCTCACAGGACACTCATGATCTGGCCGCCTTGGTCGTCAGCTTCCTCGGAGTCCACCTCTGTCCACCCACCCCGGGCGGTCGGACGCACGCAGCCCCACTTAGCTGCAGCCAATGCCTGGGAGACTGCGATTTACCTCTGACTTGTAGGCCTGCGGGTTTCAAGGTTACTTTTCAGTCACAACCAAGGAGCCCACAGCATTTCGTAACTAAAACAAACAGGGCAGGAGGTGGGGGTGGGGCAGGAGGGGAGAGAGGAAAAGCGATCAATCACGGGGCATAGGGGATGACTTCGGGAGCATCTCTTCTCTCTCTGCCAGCCAGAGGGGTTGCTGTATGAAAATCAAAATTTTCAGCTTTTCTTTTTCTCTTCAGCTCCTGGGGGCAAGAATTACCAGTTGTCCTGCCCTTAGCTGCTAAGATTTTAGAGTGGAGGGTCAGCAAATGTTTAAATGTGGAAACTCTTTCCTTGGTTGTGGCTAAGACAGGGATCTAGTCCTGAACTCTTTCTCCTAAAAGATGAGGAAAAATAGGAAATAGTGGGCTTCTGGCCCAAACCCAGATGTCCAGGTTCGGGGGATGGGTGGTAGCAGAGGACAGAGGTGGCAGGCACTGAGGTGAACACTGAACATGGATGCCTGAGTGAGGGTCAGGCTGGAGGGCGAGCCGAGGGGAGGTGTAGGTACAGGGGCCTCTCGAGTCAGCATCTTTTTGAACTGAAGATGAAGCCTCCTTCTGCTAACTAAAATGTACACAGTTTGAGCAATTTCTAGAGAAGGCTTCAGTGCTGCCTCTGAGCCAGAGCAGGGAAGGACACCACAAAGCCAAGGCCTCCTTTTCCACTTGCTCATTTGTGTGGCAAATCTGGAAAATGGGTAAGCTCACATAGTGAACACATGGTACGGTGGAGAGACCATGTCCCCCAGCATTTCCACCAGGGTCCACCCAGATGGTGGGTGCAAGCAACTTCCTCCCTTCTCCAAGGATTTGGCAAAGAGGGGTGCCACATGAAGTTCCTAAGAAGCTGCTTTGCAAACCTTGCTGCGCAGGCCAGGGCAGAAATACACACAGACACACAGACACAGACAGACAGACACACACACGCACACCTCATAACTCTTAAGCGCTGAAGCAATGAAAATGCCGAGTTACAAGAACACATTCTCAGCTCCAGATCTGAGACTCAAGAAACCAATATTCCGGTTCACAGAGGCTCCTCCCGCGCGTGTTGGGCGGCGGGGGATGTGAGTTTATGTGCATCATGACCACTCTGACTATGCTCCTGGTTGGAATTTAACCCTAGAAATTATTCTACGTGTAAAATTAGCTATCAGTTGCTTGGAGAGGAGGTCTGCTGAGCAAAGGAAGCTGCCCTCGGTAGAACAGACCTAGAAGCTCCCACAGTCACCTGGAGCGCAGTGAGTGCTCAGGATCCTGGCCATCTGGGAACGCCAGGCTCCAGCTTCCACAGTGACAGGTCGCCCCCTGTCGGCCGCGAGACTCCTGGGGTCAACCCCAGAACCCTGGGGCTCCTAATCCGCAACTCCAGAACCTGGACGTCTTTCTTCGACCGAGAACCCTCCAGGGAGTTCTGCATTTCTTTGGAGCTCCCAGAGATTGTGCGCAAAGCCAAACCCGCCTCCTTGTCTCCTGGCAAAGCTCCAAAGAAGGGTCTGTCTGCGCCACCTGGAGCCTCCGGGTGGCGGGTCTGAGACCCTCCCAGCACCGGGGGCCGAAGGCTTCGGAAGGCGGAGGAGAACCGGGTACCACCGGCTGCGGAGCGAGAGGGGGCGTCCTAGCAGCCTGGGGTTCGCGGTCCGTTCTCCACGATCTCTCTGGTGCACACGCTCGCTGGTCCTGCCTGAAACTGAGATTTCTAAAGGTTTATTCAGCGCTCAGGACCCGGAGCTCCAGGCTGGAATGCTGTAAACTGTTCCGGGTGCCTCTCTCCAGGAAAAAAAAGTTCTCGGGTGTTCGGACTGCATACGGATGTCTGCTTTGATCCCCTTCAATCTAAACCTCACCTGGGCCAGGCCACACAAAGCGTTCCTTTGCCCTGCCCCCGCTCCCACCGCTTTGCCCCTTCTTCAAGGTCTGCTCTGCTTCTAAAGCCTCCTTGCAACCCAGACTGCGCTTAGGTTTGTTTTCCTTCTGGATGTCGCGCTGACTGCAAAGCTGGGCCCTCTGACTTGGCCTCAAATCTTGGCTATTTCTGCTGTCGTTGAGAAGAGACTCTGTGATCTCTTGTGCCTTGACAAAACTGCTCCCCAGAGCTTTCTGTCAATGAAACTAGCTGAAGGGACATCAATAAACAACTCAACTTCCTCTGCTTCATCAGGTGGCATTCTCAACGAAAGAAAGAGTACAGTATGTCAAAGGTTATAATCAACATTTCACTCTCTGTGGGTGCGTTGTTATTTCTGAAGTTTGCTCTTAAATAAATCAGACCCTCAGAATTAGTCCGCCTAGCGCTGGAGCACACCTCAAATATTCCAATGCTGGTTTTCATAGCTTTTTTGAAAGTTAAAACACTTGTTTATGGGAAGCAGCACTAAAAGGCAATTAGCCACGAACACATCATTATCAAAGAATATTTACTTGAGAAAATAAAGAACAAATTTAGTGCCTGCAGTCTGTAAAAGCACAGAAAAGTGCTTATAAAAGTGGGTCAGAGACAAGATTCAGTATTTAATTCAGTAAACAGCATGTCTGCATTCAGCTTGCCTCTCCTATTACAAGATGCATGGTAAGGAAGAAACACAGATAAAATGATGATAAAATAACATAAATATGATGATAATAACTCTGCTTGGATTGGGGATGGCAGTCGGTGGAAGAGCATTGAGGTCTTAGCATTAGGCCTTGGGTTCAATCTCTAGCATCAAAAAATACACCAAAATAAAAGCCTGGGTGGTGGTGCACCCCTTTAATCCCAGCACCCAGGAGGCAGAGGCAGACAGATCTCTGAGGTCTATATAGCCCAGTTCCAGGCTACAGGGAAACCTTATCTCAAAGACCGAAAAAAATAAAAATAAAAACAAAAAACCTGATTATGTTTGGGTGGTAAAACTGTATCTTCAGTGTATATTTTTCTGCCGTATAGTTACCATTTTATATAATTATTGTTTTCCTGTTGCATTCTCTTTTCTTATTTTATGGTGGAATTATATGGCAACACTATTAACTCATGTTATGGAAACCTCAGTTCTCACCCTGAAGCAGTCAGAGAACTACTATTCAAGCTGCCTTCAATTTTGATAGAACCAGTTTTATTTTTCTTACTGCTATCAGCAGAAGGACTCTGCTTTTCTGGGTTCGGAGAGGAAATGAAGAACTATTCATGGCCACCACAGGGGGTACTTCCCAGTGTGTTCCCACTGCAGAGGTCGGCAAGAAGCCCGTGATCTGGGACGGTTCTGTGGATTTAACACACAGTCCTTTCTTTATGTGTGCAGTCTGTTTGGAAGGCTGGTTTAGTTACGGAAGGTTTGTCTTTTATAGACTGCCTCAGCGGTTGAGCAGAGCAGTTGCTGACTCCACTGCCATCTGTACTGCTCCGGACAGAAAGCCAGTGTTCTGTCCATTTGGATCCAGAATTTGACAGGTATTTCTGGGATGTTCTTGACATTCTGCCCACCATTCTTGCTCTTTTAGTACACTGCTCGTATGTGGGGCTCTTCTAACAGGTAATTAAAATAATTTGATGAGGTAAAAATTAAAGATGACAACTTTTAGCAGCAATAGTAGCACTTCGGTATGACAATGAACTCTCTGCTGAGGGGTGCTTCATCTGTGGCTCTGGGAGCTATTTCATGCATTTACATATTATTCTTGGGAGAAATCACAGATATTCCTACCAACAAGGTAAACAGTAAATTTCATGAAGGACAAGACTTGGGAAGTCACTCACAAACCACCTCAACACCCAGACTGACCTTTTTTTTCCCTCTGTGTTACTGATTTAGACGAGGTCACATTAGATCTATAGAACTACTGATGATTTGCTTGGATAAGCAAATGTGCTCCTACTAAGTATGAAACAAGTATCCAGGAGGTGTGCAGAGCCAGTATAGCAAGGCTTGGGATTCAAGTTTGATGCTTGTGAAGTGTTCTTAGCTTCTTGGTTTCTATTTCAGAGTGATAAAGGTGCCTTGTATAAATAGAATAGCTACTTATAACTTGTTCCAATATTAATAATGACAATAGAGAAGCATTTATATATTCTTACCCATTTGGCAAATATTGAATGAACACGTCCAGGTGCTGCATACAGAGGGAACATCAACTACTTACAGAGACTAGTCCTGATTCCTTCCTTATTTCCTCCTTCTGTCACATTTTCCAAACTTCCTCTATTTTCAGGACTCCTTCCAACCATGATCCAGAAATTTTCAAGTGGGAAAATCCTATTCTAAAGGAAAATCCAACATTCTGCCATTGAAAACTAGTCTATCTGCTGGCAAAAATGGACTAAACCCCAAGGTGATGTATTGCCCATCAGCAGGATCAGCAGGAAAACTGAGGGCCCAGTACTCCTTCAGTCTGCCTTCAAGCCTCCTGTAGTTAACAGGACGTTAACAGATTAGATCTGGTACAAGGCGGCTAAACAAAAATCACTGTTGTCCCTAACTGTGTCCTACCACCATACATCAGTTTTTTATGCAAAAAAACTACATTCTGCCTTTGCTTCCTACTGGCATTTATGAGGGTGTTTTTATTTTGCTTTGTTTTTCTTTGGTCTTTTTTGAGATAGGGTCTCCCTGTAGCCATGGCTGTCCTGGAGCTCACTAGGTAGATCAGGCTGGCTCAAACTCACAGAGATTCACCTGCCTCTGGCTCCCAAGTGCTGGGATTAAAGGCGTGTGTCACCACGCCTGGCTTTGTTTTTGGTTTTTAGTGGTATTGTGGATTACACCTAGAGCCAAGTGCTCTACCACAGAATGTATACTTGGGCCTGGGATTCTGGCTGTAGGAAAGAAGAGAAAGGCAGCAGGGAGGTGGTGTTAAGGGTCGAGGCTTGCTTAAGAATCTTGTTGGGTCTGACACACAGTAAGCATGCAATTCTGAAGAGTTTGTGGTGCATGTATCTCTGCATCATTTAGACTTGCCAAAGTAATTTCAAAAGGATTGTAGACCATCCCACCCCAT